AAAAAAAAAAAAAAGAATGAGGCTGGTCCGTCTCGATCGGGCAACCTTGCGATCTGGAGTCGCTATAGGGAATTTGTTAGTTGAATGTTTTGGAAACTCGTAATTAAGAGTGTTGGAACGTACCACGCGCTACCAATTGCGCCACAGCCCCATTGGTGAGGAAAATGCTGGATTTATTGGCTCCATGGACCACTTGTGCTCTAAGGGTATATGTTGCCTCGAACACAGCCCGGGAGTGCTGGCTGGCTTTGCTGTTAGGCGGCTGCGGGTAAGATTCGAATGGCAGATGGTTGGACTTGCTGGGAGGACATTCAGGTCCAGTGAGGGGTTCTTTTGTGTGTTGGATGTGATTGGATGTATCTCATTATTATTCCGGTTGTTGTACTGGGTTGGGTACAAGTATATATATATATCGGCGGCAACATCTTCCTCACAGGGCCAAAAATAAAATAATACCTGTAGAAACTCCAAGGATAAGACAACCACAAAAAGTAACACTACATACAGCAACCCTGGAATCATCCCAGTACTGCTTGCTTAATGCCCAGAATACTGTACAACCCCAGCACAAGTCATCTTGAGCGACTTGGTGTCAAGAAGATAGATCCCGAGCTGTATATGACTCGCCGAAGACTGTCTAGAGAGCAAACTCGGAGAGAAGCCAGCAATTGCGGTCAGTCGTATACGGTAGCATGCCTACAAGCGCGAAGCAAAAATAGACAACAATAGTACCTTACCTAAGCTAGTTGGAAGTTCTTCAAAGCGCCATTTGAGAACCTTGCTCATCACCATCAGAATAATGACACCGGGAATAACAACCATCAAAAGCACCCGTAATTTAATCCCGCCACAGACTCATATTCGAAGGAAAAAGTGCAGCTACAAGACAACCGGCCATTTACTTACAATAAACCTTTCGGATTGAAGTTGCGGCTAAGTATACTAAGGGGCTATAGGAAGTTATCTGGATGAAAGACGCAGTCAAAAAGAATCCTGGTCGGACTCAATCCAAAGTGTGAAAAAATTTTCCCACCATTGGGGCTGTGGCGCAATTGGTAGCGCGTGGTACGTTCCACTTACTCTAAGTCAAGACGAAACATTTCACTAACTTTCAAACAGCGACTCCAGATCGCAAGGTTGCCCGATCGAGACGGACCAGCCTCATCTCTTTTTCTTTTTCTTTTTTTCCGACTCGCCATCTCCGACTTGTAAAACACCCGCCCCTTCCATATGCACAGTGTTCAGAATCCCAGAGCTCGCGACTAGCGAGAAATCGGGAGAGTGCCAATCCATAGCTGAGCTCAGTATACTGCCAGACCCAGCTACACTAGCTTGATACGAGCCGAAGCAGCCTGTTAGGATAACTCCCTTAGTATCATGGCAGGACAATCATTCGTCCTTTATTATTTGCTGTAGTCATTCATTCACGGGTTGCTTCTGCGCCGACATCCCGGGTCACAACCAGACCTTACCTTATCCCAACCCACTATGAGAGACTGGACTTCACCTTCCCAGCATCTATCTACTATCTCAGGCAAATCTCAGACGAAAACCGTGCGATCAATGTGGGTTTCGATCCTAACAGTGTTCTATTCTACTCTATCCCTTGTCGCCACTCCAGTCCCGATGTCCTCTGCGTCTACCCGCGATCCGGGGGTCTACACTCCCTTCCAACGAATCCTCATATAAACCATAATAGTATTCGATAGTATTCAGCGTCCTAGGCTGTTGCTGAGCACTCGTCAGCGCAATGACCTACTGCAGCGAAGCCGGAATCCATGCTTTCTTCCTCGGCGAAAAAGCCCGATCACAGGCAGTTGAGCTGGACGTTTATGCTGTCTCCACCATTACATTGACAGCTATCATGCTCAGGGCACCATTACTCACTTGTTAGCAACAGTGTGCGAGAGCGCAGAGAAGGAGATCCGCATGCTTATCCTCTTGAGGACTCTCCTCACACCTATCGAGGCTGTTCTAGCTACGGTTACTGTCTATATCATGGGGGGAGTGTGGCTTGCACGTATATATGTCCCACCAGAACAGAAGAACATCCGCTTTTTTTCCGCTCAGGTGAGTGATATTTTCGTCTGGCCGGACTGGCTCGATACTTACCCCTACTTACCGAATTCCGTCGGGGTCTTTGTTCCCATTATTGACGGGAGTATGGTTACTTTCCTCCCTGATTCAAGATTAAATGTACCTGGATATTCCTCATCCAAGAAGCCATGTATTCTTTTCTTTTCGCTTTTCCTCCGGCCGCTGGCAGTCTCAACCGGCTGGGGTTGGTCGGGAGTTACTCGGGAACGGTCCACGGCCGGGATTCCCCCGGCCAGAGTTACGGAAGCCTGTTAATGCAATCCCGCAAAAACTAATTTCTGCCAACTATATTTCTTTAACTTAAAATATAAAGTAGATTTATACTATATTTTAA